AGAGCTGTACAGAATTGAAAACTTTGTGTTAATTTTGCTGACACGACATGGAATTTGGCACAGTTGATGGTATTACATAGGGAATACAAATAGCTTTTGGAGTTATAGGATCAAGGTTAAAACAAGATTAAAGCTCAGCTAGTCTGAAGGTAGCTGGCCTGAATAGTAGAGAATATAAGCTACCCAAACAGTTCATAGGCCAACATTAATCAAGATGTTATTGTGTTATACCCTAGTGTAAAACCTCAGCTTACTCTTTAATGTCTCAGTTGAAACTTTAAATACTTGGTAAGTCTTTTGTTTGTTCAATGTTTTCTAGTGAACTCCCCTAAACAGCAATAATACCCTGCTTTTACAGAGGCCTTAAAGGAAGCAGAAGGTTTTTAAACATAAGCTTGCAAGAAAGCTCAGAATGCCAGGAATAACAGTGCATTTTAAAGAGCAGCCTACCGTATTCTTAACTGTTTAACACTTATTTCTGAAAGTGAGTCAAGGTCTGTGGTAAGCTGAGTTAACAGTATAGTGGAAGAGCCCAAGGAAGTAAATAAAAGGCATGCCATTTTCCAACATAAATTGTTACTCTGTGGTCAAGTTCTGCCTTATTTCTCTAAGGGACAATGTTTCTTGATGCTTTGAATCTTGAAGAATAAAAAGTTGCAGAAAATACAATAAGAATAATTAATGTTTGTGATTTTTGATTTATGATCTTTTTAACAACCTTTAACCTGAATGAGTTACAATGAAGGATTATTCTCATTGTTTTGGCTGAAGAGTTGTTTTTAAGGTTAGCAAATTTAAAAAACAGGTACTGCTGAATTCTTAAGGGCAAAACTGCAGTAAGTCAGGTTGAGTGCCTGAGCTGAACATATGCATACCAGATTCCCCAGGCAACTGCAACCACCTTGTATAGTTTCAAAGCTCTGTCTTGCAGTGCTTGCTATCAATCCAAAAATGAAGGAGAGACAGAAATTAAGAAGAAAGAAGTGTGGGAGAACACCATTACTGCTCCTCCTCTGAGTACTCAGTACTTTTTGAAAGCAAACAAAATATATACATAGTTAGTTCCAGATTTAGGACTCTTCTTAAGGTTTGAAATTTTAAAAACCATACTCCATGTCCTTTATTCTGGTTCATCATTGTTGACACAGATCATGGACACTCAAAAATGACTGTTTTCTAACCTATCCCAATCAAAATTACTCAGGAACAATAACTGATCCTCTCTCACTGTCATTAGTCTCAAGTTGCTCTGTGGCCATTTCTGTTATGGTTACATGCTTCTGAAAAGACATCCTCTGGCCCGAGCCACAAGGACCAGACAGGTGGAAACAAGTCAGGCTGCTCAGATAGTTTGACTTCTGACTACGGGACAACTTCGTGGTAACCACCATCAGGAGGACTAAGGACTTTGTATGCCCTGGGGTTAGAGAGATGGGAATTGAGCAGTTTTTGACTTGTATCCTATGCCTAAATGACTAAATCTTCCTTTGGGTTTGAAGTTTAATTCTGAATTGCTAAATGATATTTTGTGACCTTTTTTAAAAGCTCAAGCATAATTTCAAAATGAATATTTCATGAATTCTTGTACTCATTATAGACGATCTGAAATCTGGTCAAGCACTTCGTTCTTTCCTAAATGGTAAATCAAATTTCAACAATGAAAATTCCAATAAGCTCAGCTCCTTGGGATGCTTTTAAAATTTGTTTATATTACTCTTTAACTTCTTAACAGATACTTGCAGAAAGTAAGGACAAGAGAGCAAATAAAGCTCAAATAAATTCAGAAATAAACCCCCCACAATTCCACTATTTCTAATGTGGCTTTACTTCCTTCCAATAACAATAGGATAGTTAAAATATGTGTCTGTCTGTAGAAATGTGTATTTATACAGCTGTCAGCAAATGGGAGAGTAGCAACTGGATTTTGTAAGAACAAACAGTTGGCCCCCAATTTATGCTGGGGACCTATTGGTGATTTCCTTTCTTAATCCTTGCTCTTCTTCACTGACAATGGGAAAGATAAGGATGTCCATTACCCTCCTTCTTTGGTGCACTCTAGAAGTGCTTCACTCTAAGTTTCATCATTTTAATTGCTTGATTTAACTGCAGAAAAACAACCTGGGCTTGGGGGGTCTCTAGATTCTGCAAGGAAACATGCAAAATAAGTAGATGCTTTACATTCTGCATTTTTCTTCAGGACTTACTGAGTTAACAGGTCCACGAAACTTTGGTTTGCTATCTTTCATCTGGGAAAATCTTACTGTGTTTGCAGATCATGTTACAGAAATTAAAGCGATAGGTAAGGCTGAGAATTTTCCCCTTGAATTATCAGCATGATATCTTCTGGAATTTTCCAAAATTTTCCTTTTAAATGGACATTTTCCTATGACAAGTTTCAAAGCTGGATGACTGAATAAAGAAGTTCCTTTATCTGTTACTGATTTATAGAGCTGAGAGTCAAATCTTTACTAAGACACATCTTTCCTTTTGACCTATTTCAAGTTACCATAAAGTAACATCGTAAGATTTAACTCCCAAATTCGGTCCTTATCTATATGTTTATGGTTTGCATTTTAGGTTGATGTGAATTTTCTAAATCAGAATAAAACCAGACTTCAGCCTTAAATACTAAACATTGTTATGGACTTCAAAAGACTGATAGGGTCTTTGCAAACTTGTATCAGAAATGTTATAGATATCTAAGTTTTCCACTCTATCCTCACATACATGCTATATGCCACTCAAGTTCTAAAGTGTTCATCATTGCTTTTCACGCGACAGGTCTGAAAGTAAATTTGTGGTGAAATAGCAGAGCAAGATGAGGCTTTTTCTTGAAAACAACAGATATTCTCTGTCTGCACAATTCTATAAATGGAAGACTGCTATTCTGCTCTTGCACATAGGCAGGTACATCAAGGCATCAAGAGCCAAACCCTTTCATCAGCACTAGCATCATCTGCTGCAAGTGATGCTCACAGACAGGCTGTCCAAGAGAATCCAGTCTTCTGCTGAAATGTGGGTCCTCATTAGCACCTGTAGTTCATAGAGGCTCAGCATGGGCAGGTAGTAACAATGTAATACCAAATATGACACCAGTTAAAAGTTTGAAATATATAGGGAAATATGCATCCTATAATACAAACCACATGTAAGGAAATTAATACCTTTTTTGGGGTGACTCATTAAACAGTACCTAAAATACTGCATCAAATTCTAAGCTCCCCTCCAACACCTGAAAGATTGTAATATGTGAATTCAGTGGCAGGCTATCAAGGTGGTTGGGGCTGGAGCACTTGCTCCATGAGGAGTGGCTGAAAGAGGTGATCTTTTTCAGCCTGGAGAGGGGATGGCTTTAGGGGGCATCTAAGAGTAGTCTGCCAGGGTTTAGGAAGAAGCTGTCAAGAGGACAAAGCTGGGCTATTCTACAGGGTGCACTGCGGGAGGAGGAGAGACAGCAGACAAGAGAGGGCCCAACAGCGTGTCAGGAAAAAATCCTTTACCGTGAGGACAGTCCAGTACTGGAACAGGCTTCCTAACGAGATTGTGCAGTCTCTGTCTTGGGAGGTTTTCAAGACCCAAACAGATAAAGCCCTGAGCAGGCTGGTGTGATCTCATCGCTGAGCCTGGTTTCTAGTTAGCAGATCGGTCAGACCAGATGGCCTCACGAGGTCCCTTCCAACTGGAAAATTGTTCTATCAAGAATTATTTTTCCGAAACCAGTATATTCATAGAAAAACTGTTACACAAAGTCACATCTGGTGGCACATGCTGATTTCTTTTGCTTAGATATAGCTGCAACATTTCACTGTTTGCAACTGTCAGTTTTATGAGATGGTATCACCAACAGCATCACGCTGCCTAGCAACTTATCCCAAGCAATAAAATATAACTGGGGAGGAAAAAGACAAAATGTGAACAGTATTATTTGTAAGCACATTTAAATTGGTTGGTTTGGGGTTTTTTAGCAGCTATCAAATACACTAGTTCTGCACACACTACAATTAGGTGCTTAAATTTACTGGAATTGCTAATGCTGGTAATACACATAAGTAGTGCTGGCAGGACTGCATCTGTAATCCTGAGACCGGCTCCCTAACTGGCTTATTAGTTTTTGTTGCAAGCATCAAATAGACAAATAGATGTAATTTAAAGGAACATAATACAATTTGTGCCATATACTTGACTTCACCTTTCTGGGTTATTTTCAAATCCTATTCCATGTCTTTACAAACTCCATAAGGTTATGGGCTTACATTATTCCCTATCATCAGGTTTCATTTAAACACAAATTATTATTTTCAGAAATGTAGTTGTGTTTTGTTTTTTTTTTTTCCCCCAAGAAGATAAAAGTACAGATTGGAACATGTCAAATTCATGTGAAGGAACAATGTTACAAATATTTATCTATTTATTTATTTTTGGTATTTCTTTCCTAGATTTATTCAGGCCAGAAAAGACCTCCAAGATCATCTAGACGAAAAAGTGATGCTATTTTATGAATTTAATTCACCATGTCAAGAGTGAGCCTTTACTTCGCTCTTCACTAATTTGAAAAGTAACCAGACCATCCAGATGATGCTACCAATGAAGAACGGGCAAAGAAGGTCACGAGTACTAAAAAGATGCACAAACAGGGTTTCTTGCCAAAATAAATAAACTATCGTAGCACTTGAGCATCATTAAAAAAAACCCAAACAAAACCCGAACCAAACCAAACCAAAAAAAAAACAAAACAAACAAACAAAACAAACCACAAAAAGAACCCCACCAAGCAAAACCAAGCAAAAAAAACCCAAACCCACCAACAAACAAAAAAGCTAAAGCTCAAATCAAAGCCCTACAAAATTGCTGCAGAAAGGCACGCCTCAGCAGCGCGCTGCTGTCCGGAGAGGGGCTGTGCGGGCTCAGCCCGGGGCACCACCCTGCGGGCTCCGTCCCATGCAGGTCGCCCCTTGCGTGTTCCGGGACGCAGCGACCACCGTTCCGAGCAGCTGTGGGGGTGTTTTGCGTGACGGCACCGCCGTGGGGTCAGCCCGCTGCTCCGGAGCCGCTCAGCCCCGTCTCTTCCCCGCAGGAGGCTTTAGCAAGGCGGGGGTGTGTTTGTCCCAGCGCGCCCGAGCGCGGCCGGCACCGTCTCCCCCGCACCTGCTCCGTCCCCGCCCGCCCCCGCCGTCGTTGCCGAGAAACTGAGCGCGGCCGCCGCCGGGCGGGCCCCGCCGCCGCGATCCAGCGCGGGAGGGCGGCGTGCGGGGCTGGCACAGCACCGTAACACCCCGCACACCCGCGGGGGCCCCTCCCGACCGCGCCATGAAGGGAGATGATGGCGGTAGGTCGGAGGCGGCGGGCGCGGCTCGCTCTCGGGGCGCGGTGGGGCCCCCGCGCCTTCCCGCTCCCTTCCCCGGCCCCTCCGTGGCCGACGGCCGCCCCGGCTCTGCCGGCAGCGCTGGCGGTGCCCAGGAAGGGGACGGGCGCGGCGCGAGGCCCTGCCGCCTCCGCGGCGAGGAGGGGGGAATGAGCGGCGGCTCCCTCCGCATCGCCCGCCCCAGCTGTCCTTCCCCCGCGCTGGGAGGGGGCGCTCCGGGCCGGCCTTCCCTGCCGGGAATGCTCCGGACCCCTCGGCATCCCTCGGTGGGATGCAGGAGTGCCGCACTCGTCACTGAGGCGGGGCAGGGCCGAGAGGCGAACAGGCCTCTTCGGGGTGCACTGATTTAATGGGGTGGCTGTGGACGGGGACGGGGATGGCTGGGGAGAGCTCTCTCCCTGAGGGGACGGTTCAGCTGGTCCGCAGGGGCTGCGGGGTTGGGGTGGTTGGAGAGAGTGAGGTACCCAGGCCTGGAGTAAATCTCTTTGGTTTGCAGTTTTAGGGGTTTGTTCATCAAATGGAGAGATAGGTGCTTAATATTTTTTCGTTGTTGGCATCCTTTTATTTTAGTACTCCCGGTAACATCAGAGACATATTTCTAGGAAGGATGACGCTTTCTGATGGCCTTTTTGTGCAAATGTACCTTTTAAGTCAGCTATGATTTGGTAGGTTAACCATTGTTGCGTTAAGGCAAATATTTACAGTGAGAAAACATTAACTAAATGCTATTTGAGTCTTTTGTCTTTGTCTTAAGAGTCGTCAATTTCCTGTTAAATTTTGCTGTCTCTATTCATTTCCTTCCACAGCTGCCCCATCCCACTTGCCCTTTAAGTGACCAACAGAGAAATGATACATATTAACAATGAACTATCATAAAATCATAGAATCACAGAATTAACTGGGTTGGAAGAGATCTCCGAGAACTATGCTGAATCACTAAGTTAAACTTCAATGAGGGGCGGGAAATCACATTTCTTTGAGTTAAACTTACTGGCTGCTAGAAGACTCCAGCTCTCTTCAAGTTTATGCATATGCTTTTGAGACTTTTAGGAACTGTTGGGGAATTTTTTTGTTTTACCATTTGAGCTTGGTACTGTGTTTTAAAGTGAAATTTTAAAACTGTAACAATCGGCATGTCATTTGTGCTTTATGTGGACCCACGGTCTTCTAGTTTGATGCATCTGCTTTATTTTAATCTGAAATTTGATCCATCACAGTTCATTCCCGTTTAAGCTATACCACCTGGAAATATAACTCACTGTGATTTGACTTCCTTGCAGCTCCTGCTCATTGCTGGTACCATGAACACTTATGTAAATCTTTGTGACATTCATCCAAACCTGTGTATTGAGTCAAGGAGGTTTTGGGTCTCAAACCTTTACGATAGGAGAGGAATACTATCGTGCTGCATTGCTGGGAGTAATGGGCTACTGGACCAAGCTCTAGACGAGGTGGAGAATCTTAGACTTTCATGGATGAGAATGTCTTCTTAAGGCATGAGTATCTCATGATGTGATAGGACTGGTACTGGCTTCTGGGGATTTGGGCTTCCTCCCCTGCTCCCTAGGTATTTAGGAATTTAGTCAGCTGCAAACAAGATTTTTGATGTGCTTATGAATAAAACACAGGTGTTGCATTCACAAATTATTTTTACTGTGTTACTAATAGGATATTTTCCTGACTGGAAAATTACTTAGATCTCTTGTAGATTTTGAACATGCAATTTTTGGAGATAAAGAGCAAAGTCAGCCTAATATGAGCATTACGGGTTGTATCATGTTTTCTTTCCCTTTCAGTCTTTCTCTGTTCTCCCTTTCATTACCTTCAGCGCATCTTTTATTTCATTTGAAGTTTCCTGTATTGGCTGAGTACTGGTAAATGTCTTGCTTTGAGAGATACCACTATTAGACTATGGTTGCAAATTACCTTGGCTCTACTAGGTAATCTTTTTTTCCCTTTTTTTATTTTCTGTGATATTTTCATCTTCCGTCTCTCTTTCTTAACCACCCCCCTCTCCCCCTTCCCCTGATGAGGACAATCAAGCAGTGGAACAAGTTGCTCAAAGAAATTATATGGTCTCCTTTGCTGGAGGTTTCCAAGACTGGACTATAACCTGAGTAATAATAACTAATAACCTGAGTAAACTGCAATAGTCTGGTCTTTTGTCACAGTTGATACTGCTTGAGCAGAAAATAGGACTGTACACCTCCTAAAGTCATAAAATCATAAAATGGTTTGGGTTGGAAGGGACCTAAAAGATCATCTAGCTGCATCACCCCCTGCCATGGTCAGGAAACCGTTCACTAGACCAAGTTGCCCCAGACAGCCTTGAGCATTATCAGGGATACGGCATCCACAGCTTCTGTGGGCAACCTGTTCCAGTGCCTCACTATGCTCACAGTAAAGAATTTCTTCCTAATATCTAATCTATATCTGCCCTCCTTCAGCTTAATGTCATTGCCCTTAAGTGTTTTATCACTACATGTCCTTGTGAAAGGTCCCTCTCCAGCTCTCTTGTAGGCCCCCCCTGAGTTACTGGAAGGCTGCTAGAAGGTTTCCATGGAGCCTTCTCTTTCCCAGGCTTAACAATTCCAACTCTCAGCCTATCTTCATAGGAGAGGTGCTCCAACCTTCTGATCATCTTTGTGGCCCTCCTCTGGACTCGTTCCAACAGGTCAATGTCTTTCTTGTGTTGGGGGCCCTGGAGCTGGATGCAGTACTGCAGGTGGAATCTCACAAGAGCAGAGCTGAAGTCCCTTCAACCTGATCTGTCTTATGATTCTGTGAACTTGGTTTTCCTTTGGTTCCCCCTCACCCCCAAATAAAGCCTTTAGGTGCAGTACCTACAGTATCAGAGATTATGGCTGTGACTTCTAGGAGTTGCCTTGTAGCAAGGAAGATGTGTATCACATGTCAATTACTTTGTTTTAAAGGAAAGATAAGAGGATAAAAAAGTCCTAATTCAATTTTCAGGACTTTAGATATAAAATATATGATACATAACTGTTTCGCTGGCAATTCCTTAGAGAATAGAAAGGGAAAAATTTGGGAAGGGAAGATGATCTAGAATATTTCAATTGCTTTAATAATTATTTTAGCAAAAACTGTAATAAATCCAAAATAATATAACCACTGTTTACTTCAATTTTTAATGTATTTCAATTTAAATTATGAAAAGATGTGTATACAAGGTTCTAGGCACACTAACATGTAATTATTGATACAAAAAAATCCCAGCAACCTTAAAATAATCACTTAAGCAGGCATGCCATCAGCCATCTGCTTACAGAGAGGCTCCTTTCCACCCCTGTGTCATTCTGGGAAGGATGCCCTCACCCTTTTCTTTAAAAGTCTGAAGAACAGATCTGCAGTATTCATTGCATGTTGCTGAATGTGGAATATTTTAGAGAGAGGATGGGTTGCTCCCTGAATCCTCTCAAACAAAGATCTGGTACTGCCTGTCCCCTTACTTTTGCAAAGTTTCTACCAGGAGGTGGGTAGACTGCAAAAGCAAATTACAGAACACCACTCTACATTTTTTCCAGCGTGGTTCTTGCTAAGGAAATTGCTGCATGTCTTTGTCATCTATAGGCTCTTAAGGATATTTATATAGACTACATTGCAGTATACCAATCCTAGGGCAGCAAGTGGTGGGTAGGTGGCCCACAGTTGAAGTGAACTTTTGTAGTAAGCTAGCTGTTAAACTGTGCTATATATCCATAAGGGAAATATATTACCATCAGTATATTCTCTACATATAATTAGTGTGCATTCACAGAATGACAGCATATGCTGAGTTGGAAGGGGCCCACAAGGATCACCGAGTCCATCTCCTGGCCTGCACAGGATCATCCTCAGGAGTCACACCATGTACCAGAGATTATTGTCCAAACACTCTACTGAACTCTTGTGAGGCTTGGTGCTGTGACCACTTCCTTGGGGAGCCTCTTCCAGCACCCAACCACCCTTTGGGTGAAAAACCTTTTTCTAACATCCAACCTAAACTTCCACTGACACAACATCAGGCCATTCCCTTGGGTCCTGTCACTGGTCACCTCAGAGAAAATATCAGTGCCTGCCCCTCCTCTTCCCATCACAAGGAAGTTGTAACTGCAATGAAGATTCCCCTCAGTCTTCTCTTCTCCAGGCTCTACAGACCAAGTGCCCTCAGCTGCTCCTCATATGGCTTCCCTTCAAGGCCCTTCACCATCTTCATTGCCCTTCTTTGGACACTCTCTAATGGCTTAATATCTTTCTTATATTGTGGTGCCCCAAACTGCACACAATATTCAAGGTGAGGGCATACCAGTGCAGAGCAGAGTGGAACAATCCCATTCCTCAACTGGCTGGCGATGCTTTGCCTGATGCCTCCCAGGCCACAGTTAGCCTTCCTGGCTGCCAGGGCACTGCAGACTCATATTCAACTTGCCACTGACTGGGACTCCCAGGTCCCTCTCTGTGGCACTGCTTTCCAGCATCTCGTTCCCCAGTCTGTAAGTACCTCTGGGGTTGCCCCATCCCAGGTGCAGAATCTGGTACTTTCCCTTGTTGATCTTTATGTAGTTGGTGATTACCCAGTCCTCTAATTTGTCAAGGTCTCTGCCTTCGAGGGAGTCAACAGTTCCTCCAGGTTTTGTGTCACCTGCAAACTTGCTTAGCATCCCTTCCAGTCCTGTGTCCAAGTCATTTATGAAGATGTTGAAGAGCACAGGGCCTAAGATGGAGCCCTGTGGAACCCCACTAGTCACAGGTCACCAGTCTGATGTTCCCCCATTCACTATTACCCTCTATGGTCAACCCGTGAGCCAGTTTTCACCCACCACATGATGTGTTTATCCAGCTGTGTGCTGGACATTTTGTCCAGAAAGATTCTGTGAGAGACAGTATCAAAAGCTTTACTGGAATCCAAAAAGATTAGATTTAGCTGGTTTCCCCTGCATAACTAGGTGGTTTACCTTGTCATA